GTCCTTGACGTAGCTATTTTAAAAGACATCCGGCTTAACATTAACTCGATCGAAACTTTCATCGAACTATGCTCGGACCATAGGCCGATCGTATTAGAACTGGGCCGGTCGGCTGGTGAGGTCCCTCAGACCAAAACCATCGTCGACTGGCGTAAGCTCAAGGTCAAACTTGAGTCTACGAACTCCCAGCATTTAGACACAATACCGGACAAGATAGACTCGCCGGAGGAAGCCAATAGGGCGATTAGCGCCCTATCGACTCACCTCACATCAGCGGTCGAAGAGTGCTCCCGTAAGGTTCGTGTGTCGAGCGATCGGTACACAAAGCTTCCGGCAGACGTTCGACGGCTGATTAGAGCGAAAAACTCCGCGCTAAAAGCATATGACCGTTATCGCACGGAAGATAACAAAATCCGGCTACGTTCTCTGCAAAACGAGATTAAACAACGCGTTGTAGAATTTAGAAATGATAAATGGGATAACCTCTTAGAGGGATTAGAACCATCTCAAAATGCCTTTTGGAGGCTGACTAAAGCCATAAAAGCAGAGCAAATTGCTCCCATGCCGCCTCTCGTGAGGCTCGACCACCCCGATCTCGCCTTAGACGATCTCGAAAAAGCCGAATGCCTAGCCGACAGTCTAGAGAGCCAGTGTACCCCATCCAGCGTACCAACAGATCCCGCTCACCTGCTAGAGGTAGAAGCGGAAATCGAACGTAGGGCTGCGTTTCCGCCAGCGGGCGATCCACTCGATCCCGTGACTTTCGAAGAAGTCACTAAGACCATAAAAAGCCTTAAGATTAGATCAGCCCCTGGGCCAGACGGCATCAGTAACAAGGTGATCAAATCTCTGCCGGCACCGTTAATTTACCTCCTCGTAGGAATTTTCAACGCGCTTCTCTCGAGCTGCTCTTTCCCGGATATCTGGAAAGAAGCAGACGTAATAGGAATCCATAAACCGGGCAAACCGCGTAACCGACCCACCAGTTACAGGCCTATCAGCCTACTCAACACCTTAGGTAAATTATATGAGCACACTATCCTCAAGCGCCTCCGTCACTTCACGGAAACTAACAGACTCCTCCCTGACGAACAGTTTGGATTTAGAGCCAAACATTCATGTACTAACCAAATTCATCGCCTAACAGAATATATTCTGTCTGGCTTCAATCATCATCCGACAAGGAGAAAATCTCGAGGCACGGGAGCCCTCTTCTTTGATGTCGCAAAGGCATTTGATAAGGTCTGGCACGACGGCTTGCTCTACAAGCTGTATAAACTAAACGTGCCGGACAGGCTCGTACACATCATCCGAGCCTTCCTTTCAAATCGCTCTTTTCGCTATCGAGTGGAGGGAACCCGTTCTTCGAAACGCTTTCCTAAGGCCGGTGTCCCACAAGGCTCCGCCCTGTCTCCAATTCTGTTTACACTTTTTACGAGTGACATCCCTAAAGATCCAGCGGTCAACACCGCTCTCTTCGCCGACGATACGGCTCTCTTTGTATCAGAGTACAATAGGAATATTCTCACTTTAAAACTCCAAAAAGCTGCCAATCGCTTAGGCGAATGGTTCCGCCAATGGAGAATTGAAGTGAATCCCGAAAAAAGTGTAGCAATATACTTTCAACGGAATCCAAAACAGTCCGGTAATGGACCAAGAAAACGTATGAAGGTAATTACCTTATACGGCCGCCCCATCCCATGGGAATCCTCGGCCAAATATCTGGGCGTTACGTTTGACGCCAACATGAGTTTCGCGAAACACATTAGTATTGTTCGCAACAAAGCCAAGTCAGTTATTGGCCGTCTCCATCCTCTTGTGAACAGCAAGAGTAAGCTGTCTCTAAGGCACAAACTCCATTTGTACAAATCCTGCGTTAGACCTATCATGTCTTACGCAAGTGTAGCCTTTGCACACACATATAAGTCCCACCTAAACGAACTACAGAAAGTTCAAAACCTTTTCATCCGTAAAGCCACCGGTGCACGGTGGTATCAACGGAACTCTGATTTACACAGCGATTGTCAACTCCCCTGTATCTCCGAATACTTTAAGGAGATGTCCCAGCGCTACTTTGACAGCGCCGAAGCTCATCCGAACCCCCTAGTGGTAAACGCAGCCAACTACGTCCCGATACCGAACGTCGCGCCGTTTCTCCGTAGACCGCGTAATGTATTAATAGAGCAACCGCGCTCGCTCGATCCCGTCGACCCAAACGTCGCAGGCACATCACACACTGACACTACACCCACACCAATTGGGACAAACACTAATAGGACAACGGAAGGGGCGCGTCGCACCCGTAGGCGGGCACGACGCGTTCCAACACACACCGCGTACACACCGTACACCCGCGTGCCTGGGCGGTTCTCACCGCCCAGAACATCGACCGATACGAGCTAAGCAGTCAGAGGCAGGGGTTCGCATTCCCCCCCTCGGACTGCGGTTAGATAGCTCAAAATAAACCTCTACGGAGGGGACATGATGATTGGTAACAATACCAAATCACAAACCATCATCATCCTCATCCTTATCCCAGCTACCGCCTTTCCACTTTTAAATAGCTCGCGGCCTTTCAGGCCGCGAGCCCTGCGTCCGATGAAGCTGTAAGAACCGCATAGGTTAACAGCGTTAACATCACAGAAAATAGTTAATGGTCGTCGTTCATTCGGTTCATTCATTCGGAAGCGGCACTCGAGAAGACAACAAGGAAGAATCAAGACAGAAAACCTGGAAGAAGACTCCATACTGAAGACCTCCCTCTGTGAATAGTGATTTAGTTAATAGTGCCGAACCCTTTGTAAATAGTGAATATAGTATAGTTAAAAGTACCATCTTTTCTTCGAGCAGTCCCCTAGTATAGCTAACCTCACACCGCCAGTTAAAGTATAAATACAGTCCACTGCTCTCCATCCACTTTACCCTCGGTGGCAAACCTCGGTCGTGATTTACCACCACTGTTGAACATAGGCCTATAGACAAGATAATTAAGCGAATTATCATTTGAAGCGACAGTAACGTAATGGCAGGGTGCGGACCGCGAATGTAAAGGGTTCGAATCCGCTATTGGATTACCTGTGAGAACCACTTCTACACAAGCATTTAAGCTTATCAGGAGTGGTTAAAGGTAATATTAGTGCAATAATAATGCAATAATAAATAATAACATTGCTGATATTTAAAAAAAAATAGGCGTCCACGCGCGAATCGTATCGTAGCGTAATCGTACAACATTAGATATTAAAAGTCGATTATTACGATACGTTTCTCAATTTTTGTATAAAACTAAGCCGATAACAAATTTCACGTAATGGTGATCAGTCAAACTGATTATTAGATAATAAATTTCACCTGTCGTTTTGCTCGTTGTAAGTGCTTTTCAGTAGCAAAAAACACATATGTAAAGAACATATTTATTTTATGTTTTTCAACAGGCGTTCTAATCGATCAACTTTTTTAAACTTAAGGGATTGACATGTTCTATGAATCGGCGTTAAGCACCTACTTTCAGGTCTTGATTGATGATTTGCGACAGGGTTTAACAAGAATCTGTATTTACGCGATATATTTTTGTGCTAAGTATTAGTTTCGTTTCCTTTCTTTCGATTCTGATTATGAAAGCGTTCACAGCCCATTTGGTTCTAACAACATGGGGTAGTTCCTATAATTTATAGTCTCCGATAGAGGAATTGTTGACCCATTTGTCTAAAGACTTTATACGCGTTAGAGCTAAGTTGCAGCTATATTATGGTTGTAGCACGATTAGGTCGGCTCAACCGGAGAAGGACCATGGCCACACCCTTACAGAATACCAGCGTAAGCTCGCAGCTTATACTACTGCGTTTTTTATGATGAGTGTAGAGGACCGAAAATACTTTTTAATGGATACGGGGCATTCCATCTTAGTCCTCGGGGTGACGACGCATCTGTATTTTGATTCTTATTCGAGGATAGATGCAGATGTCTATACCATCAGGTGGGCTGTGTGCTGGCTTGTTACCCTAATTCTATTAATAAAGTGCAATACACAAACACAACAAAATTACTGACAGCTCCATACTTACATTATAAACACGTATATTGTAGTAAAAAGTCAGTAAATACCACATTCACAATAATTTAGTGTGCTTTATTTTTTATTTATTGATTTCTTCAGGAAAATCTCATAGATTTTTCCATGTAAATTACATGTCATCATCACCATCTGGTATTGAATGCAAAACCTAATTAGATTTCCACTGACTTTTGTCGTTTAAGAAATCAACGATGACTACTGTTTACTGCGAGTACTGCAATCGATTGCGTTTTTGCTGCTGATTGCATCATTGCCACAGAACACAATTATTCTCTACCAAGAGATCATTGCGATTGCGTGAATTTTGTTGAGATTATGGGCTTGCGTAACAGTGAGAGTTTGCGTTAAAAATGATATTTTATAGTATTAAATTTACACATTATAGCAAATCAGCCATATTCATAAAAAATCTAAAGTTTATTTGAATGGTAACGATTTTAGCTATCATTTATCAAGGTTGTATGTCATTGATAACTGACCGTGATAAGGCAAATTATGTAACAACGACCGGTTTTTAATATCGATAATTTGTATTCGTGTTATTTTCATTTATCGTAACGGTGCATAAATTCCACGATCAAAACAAAATAGAACTAGACTTTTTAAAGGAAACCAGTGCGCTATTCACTATATATTTTATAGGACTGCTTTAGTAACTACTGCAACAGCAATAATTGTTACTGCAGGAGCAGTACTACCCGCAGAGTCCAGGGTGGTACTCGTAGTTATATTTAATGTTTTATGAATGTTTAATACCTTAACAACTTTTTATCGGTAAGGGCAGTAACGTATAATATAGTTTTAACATTTTTTTATATTGCTTAGTATATTTGTATAAATTTAAGATATCACATTAATAAAAAATATGAAATACTAGGTTTATTAGAAAGTTTATGAATTATATTTATGTTCAGAGTTTTGGGGACTAGGTTAATTTAACGAGTTTTTCTGATATATCCCACAGTTTACGAGCTAGAACGACATCAGATGCTTGATCTGTGCTCACTTTTACCATATGACAGTCGCGAAAATATTTCCCGCTGACTTCCTTCACTTCGGGGGACACGGCGAGATATATAGTAGTTTGTGCTCCTTCCCACTGAGTTTTGGAGAAAAGTTTTAGGACAGGTACAATGAACTTAAACAATATGGAATCAACGTCATCAAATATCTTTGTTTTCACTACTCCTGGATGTAGAGCGTTTGCTGTAACCCCCGTTCCTTGCAGTCTTCTACTCAGCTCAAGTGTAAACAGCACATTACAAAGCTTGGAAAGAGCGTAAACCCGATTTTTGCTAAATGTTTCTTTAGTTTCTTTTTCCATGTTGAGATTGTTAAGGTCGAGAGTTGCAAGTCCATGTGCCATTGAAGAAACATTTATGATGCGGCTCGGAGCAGTAGATTTAAGCAGTGGTAGCAAAAGACAAGTTAATAAAAACGGCCCAAAGTGATTGGTTTGCATTCCAAGTAATAAATCGTCTTCAGTCTTAACATTATGCGATCCGTAGATGCCAGCGTTATTTACAAGAATATCGAGACGTTTTTCCCTTTGGAGTATTTCATCGGCGAATTTCCTAATGGAATTAAACGATGCTAGGTCCAAATATCGATAATGTACATCACTATTTCCAGTTGCTGCGATGATCTCATTTATGGCAGCATTACCGTGGCTTTCATTATTGCAGGCGATAATAACGCGAGCTCCTCTGTCTGCAAGATCTTTGGCTGTCTCAAATCCAATCCCATTGCCTCCACCTGTCACTATAACCACTTTACCCACTAAATGTTTGCTGCATTTACAAATGCCTATTGTCAATTTAACATATAAATAAATTATTCCTGCGATGGCAATATTCACTAAAATTAACGCTATCAAAAACATTGTGTTATTATTACGAAATTTAGGTAAGAAATGATGTCATGTCCTATGTATAGCTGAGCTGTTGACATATAACGTGAACAAGGGCTGTCATTCGTCCCGAAATTAACGGTTTACCGGATTAGTTTTGGACTAAGAGGATTTATTTGTATGAGTGGAGTTTTCAAGAGAGATTAAAAGACAGAGATTGTTTGGATACATTTTTCATGAATAGAAAAGGATAGATTTTTTTCTTCAGGTGCAGTTTCTGCTTAAATGTAATATAGCCGTGGAACACACTTTTAAATATTTAGGAATATTTTTTAGATATCCTCTAAATTTATTATTGTCTTTTATTATTATAGCTCATACAACCTTCGTCCATTTTTATGGATTCCTACTGTCGCCCATGTTCAAGGACAGTCTTTGACAAGTATTTTATTAATTTATGATTTGAAATAATGCTAACAAATAATTTGTATTATTTTTATATGAAAGTGATTTAGGGTATGTTTACTATATTGTTTCTGAAAATCTCTAAGCGATGTAAAATTATTTGAACAGATACAATTTTGCTCCGTTTTCTGTTTTTGTGTATGTCAGATGATACGACTAATTGTCTACTGTTATCACTGTGTAGTAGTGGCGTAAATAAATCAACTACCCATATCATCTCTTGAGTATCGTAAGAGACGACATAGGGAAACTGAAATCGGAGATAGGCAGCATTTTCATGAAAACAACTGCAAATGATAAAAAATGCGGTTTGTAATCCGCCACATAAGAGTGGCTGCTATAGAAAAATATCGTTACACAAAAGGTTACAAATTGTTACTAAGACAGAATTATTTTTATTGGTTAATTATCAAAATAAGGATAAAAACAATTCATGCTAATTTATTTTATGAATTATTCGTGTTGTTGTAGTTAAAACTCATTCGCCTAGAATTTTTTTAGTTAGAGTTGTTGATGTTGTTGAGATTGTTATCAAGAAATATAAATAAAGCGAGTGTTAAGGAAATTAATTTAGAAATCGAGGAAAACACGCTTTCATACAAAAATATCCGGTGATTGAAAGTCAATATCCGGCATTAACAATTCAGGCGATGGCAACCCTAGAATTGTATCACGGCACTCGATTCAGTGCGACGATACGAAAAATTAATTATAATTCATTAAACTACTATGTTGTCATAATATGTACAATCGGTTTACGGTTAAATTAATTAGTTAAATTAATTAATTAAAAAAAAATTTAGTAAAAAGCTGTATTTTGATATTACAAACAGACACTTCAATTATATTTGTATAGATTATGTTCACATAGAAGAGAATAATATAAAAATTTAGAAAATATCATATTATACGAATACACCATCATTGAAGTAAATGCTTTTAAAACAATAGTAGACTCAGGACGGGTTTTTTAATCCGCCACAAAATGTTTAATAACCACCTAACCATTACCGCTACAACCTATTAAACATCCATTGCTGAAACAGGTCTCCCGCATAGATTGTCTCATAGGGGGATATTCGCTATAGTGGCCACACTTGGTAGGCGGATTGGCAACCGAAGTTTATTTTTTATTTTTAGTTGTTATTTGAAAAACGTTATCTTCATCTCCTGGTTTGTTTCCGTTTATCGCCTCTTACGGCACCGACGGGATGGTATGGGATAGTGGATCGTCACTACACGGTTACATTACATAACTAACTAAGTAGTTATACCGTCCAAATAAAATTATTACACTGACTAACTGTCGAGTAAATGGTTGACTATTATAAAATTGTCATTTATGTCACGAATAGCTGAATTAGACCAATTTATTGGCCCACCAAAAGCTACGCTAGCTTCTATTTTTTTTATAGGATAAGGGTGACAAACGAGCACACAGTCCACCTGATGGTAAGTGGTTGCTGCGGCCCATAGACATCTACATCTATCCTCTATTACAAATCAAAATGTAGATGCGTTGTCACCCGTGAGGACTAAGATGGAATGCCTCATTTCCAGTAAAAAGGGCCTCCGGCCACCTGCACTCACCAAGCGAAACGCAGAGGTAAACCTCTACTTCACGCTGGTTTTCTGTGAGGTCGTGATACCACCCCGGTTTGAGCCGGCCCATCCGTGCGACAGCAAAAGCTGCCGCGTGGCTCTACCACTGTTAATAAGTTCTAGGACATAGATTAATAATAAGTCATCGCGCGCTCCGATGACTTATGATTAATCTATGTTCTAGGACTTGAAACCAAAATATTGTATAAGTAAACGTAAGAGAAGGACAAACTTTTTCCATTTTCTGATGTTTTAATATTTGCTTTGCGTTTACTGTATTTTAAGTTTTGGTAAAGAGCGCCTTTTTCTTTCTTGAGCGAAGATCTTTGTCGAATTTTCATAGTGCTGAGATTGAATAAGTACTTTTTTTATAGGATAGGGTGACAAACGAGCACACAGTCCATCTGATGGTAAGTGGTTGCTGTGGCCCATAAACATCTACATCTATCCTCGTTTGCGAATTAAAATGCAGATGAGTTGTCACCTGTGAGGACTAAGATGGAATGCCTCTTTTCCAGTAAAAAGGGTCTCCGGTTCTCTACACTCACCATACGAAACACAGCAGTGTTAAGCTGCTATTTTACGCTGGTATTCTGTGAGAGCGTGGTCCTACCCCGGTCGGGACGACCCATTCGTGCTACAACTATACTACTAATATAGCTGCAGCATGGCTCTACCACGTACAACCTTGTACCTTTAAATTTAAACAATTTAAAATCATTTAAGTATAGTGTACGCATAGTACATAATGTACCACTGTTGAACAAATTAGTTTGTGTTTTCTTCATCAAAATATTATCACTTATCATGGGAAGTAAATATTGTACAGGCATTTTCAAAACTCTGAGTCGACGATGAAATTCTTTCGAATGCCTAAAAATAAAGTGTTCAGCTTTAGATCTTAGAATATTTCTCTTTTTTCCGGTGGATTTATAAACTTATTTATCAGAACTTCTTCCACGATGAGGGTTAATAATCTTTAGCTCACCAGTTGTCGCTAGTGGACACAGAGATGAAGCTTTATGTTACACAATGCCATTTAATTCAGAAGCTACATAGTTTTAAATAAAAGTTTATCAGTTTCTAGAGTATTATAATATTACTACACATAACAATGCATCATTTTTAAAAATACTAGTAATTCTCACTTCTGGTAAGCTTAAAATGCTTGTGTTAAAAGTGGTTCACGACAGTAGTCGAATGGCGGATTCGAATCCACGACCTTTCGAGTTCGCGGTCCGCGCCCTGCCATTAGGCTACTGATGCTTTAAAATATTAAAAAGCAAATCATTGGTTTGCTCTTTAATATTTGCACAATTTTAACTTTTTTTTAATATACTTTTTTTACTTTTAGGTATATTTGAGGTTTGGTTTATTTACAATTCATATAAAATATAGCTATAAGGTCAGAAAGAAACATTAAACTTTAGATGTTTTGAACAAATTAATCTCCCAACTATGAAATCTGTCAAAAATTACACCTAGTTTTCTAGTGGCGCCGCCCTGGCGGCTGAAAAAGTCGAGGATCTATGTTGGGTCATTAATTCTATTAAAAATATTTCAACAATAACATTTAACTAACTTTATGCATAATACATATATAAACTACCACGCCTGTCACCCAGAGAATTAGGGAGAGACTACGGACTTCCATTTAGCATGACATCTTGATACACCATTCTTGCTTCTTTCACATCCATAAATCTCGCATACAATACCATGCTCGTTGGTTAAGTAGCCTTAATTTAGGCCATTTTTGATATATCACCAATTTAATCTATTTGGACTTCCACATGGTCCTTGCCGACTTTGTAATAAACGCCAAATCAACAAGTATGTATTATAGTCCAGGAAATGAAGCATTTTGGCTCGCAATTTTTTCGTCCACCATGGATTTACTTGAAATTTTCACAGAAGGTAGGGAATAGCTCAAGGATCATTGTCTATATCATGCCGCTGTACGCTAGAGCCTTGGGGGTGGTTGCCACCCCATCTCGGGAGTGGAAATTTTTTATTACATTTTAACTATAGGAATCGACGGAAAAGTAATTCTAAGAAAAAAATGTTATATACGTTTTTTTCGTAAAACTAATATTTTTTGAATTATTCAAAGTTGAAAGTAACAGTTTTTTGACGAAAAAATCGACTTTTTAAATGGTTTTTTGCAAATAACTAAAAATATGCATTTTATCATCTTAAGTGTAGAGAGCCAAATTGTAGCTTTTACAAATACAAAAACAATTCTTTTTTTATAATTTTTCTACGACTAATACGAACTGAGATACAGCAAATTAATGCTTAGCTTTTTTCGTCAAATGCATAAATTGGAAGATTTAAAGCGAAATAACGAGAAAAATTTGCATTATTCGAAGAAAGCTCATAGAATCTTTTTAAAGTATTTAGTTAGAGTTTTCAAACAAAATAAAAAAATGTCTTTTGCATGAAAATTGACCGACTTATGATCAAAATAAGATCAGTACCCGCTTTTTTTTACGAAAAAATCTGTGAAAACGCCTACAAAATCGTTTCTGAAAAAAAATTCTATCACGTAAAATGAAGGAGCTATGCTTAAAAAACTGATCAATTTTTTTTCGAAAAATTCGAATTACCCGCTTCGGAGCTTAGTAATCTACATAACCGGTATATTCGGCCGTTATACGTTGTATGTTCCACTTTTTCGATTCTTATTGGAAGACAGAGAAGAAGAAACATTTGCTCACGTGTATGCGTGTGAGAGTGTATATTTCGTTGATTTCTCACCAGTGTATTCTAAAGTTCGAAGACAAGTAGCACGTGCTCTGACAATTTCAATGTTTTCAAGGGTAATTTTAACAAGGGTAGGTTGAAAGATTATGAAATTGTATCAACAATCAATTATTTAACTATTTTTACCCATATTTAGGTTTTTAATGTTATTTTATAATTTTTGACAATAAGGGGTAGTTTTCACCCCTAAAAAACAAAAA